TACTTTTTTTTTTTTTTTACTTGGAGTCTTACTCCGTCACCCAGGCTGGAGTGCTATGGTATACTCATGGCCACCCCAGCGTCAACCTGCTGGCTCCAGCAATCCTTCTGCCTCAGCCTTCCAAGTAGCTGGAACTATAGGCGCGCACTACCACGTTCAGCAAATTTTTGATTTATTGTAGAGACGAGGTCTCGCCAAGTTGCCCAGGCAGGTCTCGAACCCGCAGGCTCAGGCAATCCACTCGCCTCAGCCTCCCAAAGTGCTGGGATTACAGACTGAGCCACCGAGTCCGGCTAATTTTTTGATTTATTGTAGACACGAGGTCTCACCATGTTGCCCAGGCTGGTCTTGAACCCATGGACTCAGGCAATCCTCTCGCCTCTGCCTCCCAAAGTGCTGGTATTACAGGCATGAGCCACCACGCCCAGCCTCATTTTTATCTTGTAAAGCACATTCTATTACATTAACCTCCAGAAGCAACCTCTGCTTACCAAGACAGAAAGAAAGAGATCACCTCTCCGAATTAGATATTAGGGATCGTGCTTTTTAACGTCAGCGTTTGGGGAGGAGTTCTCTGGGGTTTTCTACTGTTTTTACAATTGAGTAATACACCAGGGCTGTTAAGATTTTTGAAAATATCAATCTGTTCCAACTTTTCTGAGGGCAGCTGCAGCGTGACCAGGCTGCGTTTATAGACGTGCCAGGTCCTGACTCTTTTGAAGTGGTGGAGTTTGCAGCCCATTGTTGAACAAGTCTCCACTTCCCGTCCGGCAGTGGAGCCTCTGTGGGGTCCCAGGGGAAGCCCAGTCTTGTGATCCCTAGAGGAAGACCGCATGCCAGCTGAGCTCAGACTTGGCCTTCTTTTTTTTTTGAGTTGGAGTCTCACTCTGTCGCCCAGACTGGAGTGCAGTGGCCGCTCCCGGCCACCACAGCCTCGACCTGCTGGGCTCCAGCGATCCTTCCGCCTCAGCCTTCCAAGTAGCTGGAACTACAGGTGCGCGCTACCACACCCGGCTAGTTTTTTGATTTATTGTAGAGATGAGGTCTCACCAAATTCCCCAGGCGCGTCTCGAACCCACGGACTCAGGCAATCCACTCACCTCAGCCTCCCAAGGTGCGGGATTACAGGCTGAGCCACCGAGCCCGGAAACTTAGTCTTCTTTAACACTGCAAAGCTGATGGTGGAAACTCAGTTGAGCCACTGGGGTGGGAAGGAAAAGGAGGAAAGCCCACACAAAAAAGGGGGTCATCAGCCGGGCTCGGTGGTTCAGCCAGTAATCCCATGCTTTGGGAGGCTGAGGTGAGTGGATTGCCTGAGCCCTCGGGTTCAAGACTTGCCTGAGCAACCTGGTGAGACTTCATCTCTACAATAATTCAAAAAAAAAAAAAATTAACCGGGCGCGGTAGCATGCGCCTGTAGTTCAGCTACTTGGAAGGCTGAGGCGGAAGGATCGCCAGACCAGCAGGTCACTCCAGTCTGGGTGACAGAGTGAGACTCCAACTCAAAAAAAAAAAGGGGGGGTCATCTTAGCTTCGGTCTATTGAAAAAAAAATAACCAGAGAGGGGCACATTATACTGGGAGAGAAGAGGAAGAGCGACTCTTTGGGGGTTGCAAACAATCCTATTAGGTTTATTGATGATGATAAATATGATAGAGATCGGATTTTTTTTTTTTTTTTTGAGTTGGAGTCTCACTGTCACCCAGACTGTAGTGCAGTGGCTGCTCCCGGCCACCGCAGCCTCGACCTGCTGGGCTCCAGCGATCCTTCCGCCTCAGTCTTCCAAGTAGCTGAAACTAAGGCGTGTGCTACCATGCCCGGCTAATTTTTTTTATTTATTGTAGAGATGAGGTCTCTCCTGCCCAGACGGGTCTCGAACCCGTGGGCTCAGGCAATCCACTCACCTCAGCCTTCCAAAGGCACGGGATTACAGGCTGAGCCACCGAGCCCGGCTTTTTTCTTTTTTTTTGAGTTGAGTTCTCACATTGTTGCTCAGGCTGGAGTGTAGTGGCATGGTCATGGCTCACTGCAGCCTTGACCTACTGGCTCAGGCAATCCTCCCACCTCAGCCTCCTGAGTATCTGGGTCTACAGGCATGCACCACCATGTCCAACTAAATTTTTTTGATTTTTTTGTAGAGACGAGATCTCACTGTGTTGTCCAGGTTGGTCTCAAATTCCTGGCCTCAAGCAATCCTCCTGCCTCTGCCTCCCAAAGTACTGGGATAATGGATGTGAGCCACCGTTCCCAGTCACTTTTTTCTTTTTTTAAAAAGGCCATAATCTATAGGAAGCTCTTCTATTTCCAATCTTGAATAACTTTTTATTTAAACGTCACTCAGAATGCTTATTATCATGAACACAAGTATTATTTTGAATCTTTTGTATATAGAAAAAAGCAAGATTTTCAATGTATGAGAAAACATTTAAAAATTAACATAGTTACAAAGAACCAAAATAAACCTTAATAACCTTTTTTTCTCAAAATTACTTTTGAGTCCCTGGTGTGATTCCGTCCTGCGCGGCTGTTCTTTGGAGCAGTAGTCATTTGCCTCCGTCCCCCTTCTCTCTCACCTAAGTGTGCGCCACCACCCCATGGAAGATTCGATGGACATGGACATGAGCCCCCTGAGGCCCCAGAACTATCTTTTCGGTTGTGAACTAAAGGCCGACAAAGATTATCACTTTAAGGTGGATAATGATGAAAATAAGCACCGGTTATCTTTAAGAACGGTCAGTTTAGGGGCTGGTGCAAAAGATGAATTGCACATTGTTGAAGCAGAGGCAATGAATTATGAAGGCAGCCCAATAAAAGTAACACTGGCAACTTTGAAAATGTCTGTGCAGCCAACGGTTTCCCTTGGGGGCTTTGAAATAACACCACCTGTGGTCTTACGGTTGAAGTGTGGTTCAGGGCCTGTGCATATTAGTGGACAGCACTTAGTAGCTGTGGAAGAAGATGCAGAGTCAGAAGATGAAGAGGATGAGGATGTAAAACTCTTAAGTATATCTGGAAAGAGATCTGCTCCTGGAGGTGGTGGCAAGGTTCCTCAGAAAAAAGTAAAGCTTAGCCGGGCTTGGTGGCTCAGCCTGTAATCCCGCGCCTTTGGGAGGCTGAGGTGAGTGAACTGCCTGAGCCCACGGGTTCGAGACCCGCCTGGGCAGCGAGACCTCATCTCTACAATAAATCAAAAAATCAGCCGGGCGTGGTAGCGCGTGCCTGTAGTTCCGGCTACTCGGAAGGCTGAGGCAGAAGGATCGCCGGAGCCCAGCAGGTCGAGGCTGCGGTGGCCGGGAGCGGCCACTGCACTCCAGTCTGGGTGACAGAGTGAGACTCCAACTCAAAAAAAAAAAAAGTAAAACTTGCTGCTGATGAAGATGATGATGATGAAGATGATGATGATGATGATTTTGATGATGAGGAAACTGAAGAAAAAGCTCCAGTGAAGAAATCTGTACGAGATACTTCAGCCAAAAATGCACAAAAATCAAACCAGAATGGAAAAGACTCAAAACCATCAACACCAAGATCAAAAAGTCAAGAATCCATCAAAAAACAGGAAAAAACTCCTAAAACACCAAAAGGACCTAGCTCTGTAGAAGACATTAAGGCAAAAATGCAAGCAAGTATAGAAAAAGGTGGTTCTCTTCCCAAGGTGGAAGCCAAGTTCATCAATTATGTGAAGAATTGCTTTCGGATGACTGACCAGGAGGCTATTCAAAATCTCTGGCAGTGGAGGAAATCTCTTTAAGAAAATAGTTTAAACAGTTTGTTAAGTTTTCTGTAACAGTTAATATCTGGCTGTCCTTTTTATAATGCAGAGTGAGAAACTTTCCCTACCGTGTTTGATAAATGTTGTCCAGGTTCTATTGCCAAGAATGTGTTGTCCAAAATGCCTGTTTAGTTTTTAAAGATGGAACTCCACCCTTTGCTTGGTTTTAAGTATGTATGGAATGTTATGATAGGGCATAGTAGTAGTGGTGGTCAGACATGGAAATGGTGGGGAGACAAAAATATACATGTGAAATAAACAGTATTTTAATAAAGTAAAAAAAAAATTACTTTTGAAAGCTAATCCAGAGTGTGAAAAACGTAACCTTATTTTGTTGCAGTTGAGTAAAAATGGACCAGAACCAAAAGTTCAAGTGCAACGTGTGTGTGCAGTTCGGTTAAGCAGTTTTCCCTTCTTTAAGATTGTTCTGGGGCTGGGCGCGGTGGCTCACACCTATAATCCCACCACTTTGGGAGGCCGAGGTGAAAGGACTGCCTGAGTCCACGCGTTCGAGACCAGCCTGGGCAACATGTAAGAACTTTGTCTCTACAATTAAAAAAAAAAAAAAAAAATATATATATATATATATATTAGCTGGGCGTGGTAGCGCGCGCCCGTAGTTCCGGCTACTTGGAAGGCTGAGGCGAAAGGATCACCTGAGCCCAGCAGGTCAAGGCAGCGCTCCAGCCTGGGCAACAAAATGAGATTCCAATTCAAAAAAAAAAGGATTGCTCCGAAGGATTCATTCATTAATTTTAAACCACAGTCCTACCTCTGTGGGGTTGTTTCCTTGAATGAGCCTCAAAACAGCACTATTTTCACAACAATCGCTACCTAGGAGAGATGCATTTACAGGCATCAGTCACAGCTTGTGGGCATGTTCTGGTGACTGAAAGACATCAAAATCAGGATGTCAGAGTCCCAAATAAAAACGATCTGGTCCATGAGGCTTGTTTTTCTAGTAAGACCAGTAAAGACCACGACGAGATGGCGCTGGGTTCTGGGCTCTAAACGCTGGAGAATTAAACCACCAGAAGGCTTGCCTACTGGGGAGAAAGCTGACCTTTTCAAGCTCTCCAGCTTCTCGCCCCCTCCTCCTGCTCCTCCTTCCCACTCCTCTCCTCCGCCTCCTTCTCCACCTCTCCATCCTCCCCCTCTCCGTCCTCCTCCTCCCACCCAAGCATCACCTCGTGAGGCCTCGTGGCGTTTGCAGAGCGCGCACCGCCCCCACCGAGCCTGGCGCCTTTTCTGCAGGCGCGGGGGGGGGGGGTTGGAGTGAGGGAGAGGCCCAGGGCACATGATGCGCCCCCCAGCCCGCCCAGCACATGACTCAGGCGGGCCAGCGGGGTCCTGGCACACCCGAGCCGCGTCCCAGAGCTCGGCTCATGGCCTCCCCGCGCCTGGGGACCTTTTGCTGCCCCACGCGGGACGCGGCCACGCAGCTCGTGCTGAGCTTCCAGCCACTGGCGTTCCACGCGCTGTGCCTGGGCAGCGGCGCGCTCCGCCTGGCGCTGGGCCTCCTGCAGTTGCTGCCGGGCCGCAGGCCAGCGGGCTCTGGGGCCCCCGCGACTTCCCCGCCGGCCTCGGTTCGCATCCTGCGCGCCGCCACCGCCTGCGACGTGCTTGGCTGCCTGGGTAAGGGCGCGCGGCCCGCAGGTTGGGACCTACTCTGTGCTGGGGTGTGGAAGCGCGTCGACCTGATCGGTGCTCCGGTGAGGGCGCGCGGCCCGCAGGGTGGGACCTGCTCCGTGCCCGGGTAAGGGCGCACGGCCCGCGGGATGGGCTGGATGTCAGAGCATTTGAAGCAGAGAGAAAGAGGAAGTTGGAGGCGGTTCCCTAGGGACCGGACTGGACGACTAGGTAATTTTGCAAAGCAGGGTGGTCAGTAAATTCCTGTCCAAGGAACATGGGTTTTGTTTTTTGGGATTTTTTTAAGTTTATAGTGTTTTGTTTTGTTTTTACAAGGAAATTTCAGATGGTGCAGTTAAGCAAAACCCTGGTTAACTGCACCAGGAAGACACTAAGAAACTAACAGTTAACACCATCTCTGTGGTTTTTTGTTTGTTTGTTTTTGAGGAGTCTTACTCTGTCACCCAGGCTGCTGCGCTCAGGCAATCCTTCCGTCTCAACCTTCCAAGTAGCCAGAACTACAGGCGCGCGCTACCACGCCTGGCTAATTTTTTTTACTTTTTATTGTAGAGTTGAGGTCTCACCATGTTGCCCAGGCTGGTCTTGAACCCATGGGCTCAGGCAATCCTCTCACCTTGGCCTCCCAAAGTGCTAGGATTGCAAGCACGAGCCACCGGGCCGACCTCTGCGTATTCTTTTCTGTTTTGCACTGTAGATTCAATACCTTCTCTGTCCGGGCTTTTGGGTTTGGATTTTACACCACAGATGTACAAATTGCAGCCCACCAAATCCTGCTGCCCGTTTTCTCGGGCCACGAACTAAGAATGGGTTTACATTTTTGAATGTTTTTAAGAATCGAAATAAGAAAAATATTTGTTGGCTTGTGAAAATTACCTAAAATTTAAATGTCCGTGTCCATCAATAACGTGTTTTTTTTGTTTTGCTTTTTTTTTGAGTTGGCGTCTCACTCTGACACCCAGACTGGAGTGCAGTGGCCGCTCCCGGCCACCGCAGCCTCGACCTGCTGGGCTCCGGCGATCCTTCCGCCTCAGCCTTCCAAGTAGCTGGAACTAGAGGTGCACGCTGCCACACCCGGCTAATTTTTGATTTATTGTAGAGATGAGGTCTCGCCAAGTTGCCCAGGCGGGTCTCGAATCCGCGGGCTCAGGCAGTCCACTTACCTCAGCTTCCAAAAGCGCTGGGATTACAGGCTGAGCCACTGAGCCCGGCTCATCAATAAAGTGTTAAGGGACTGCAGGTGTGTCATGCGTGTGCATTTGCACATTGGGAAGGACTGCCTTTGCTTTACCAGGGCAGAGTGAATGTTTGACAGAGAGTGGATGGCTCCCCAAACCGAAAATATTTACTATCTGGCCCTTTACAGAAGAGTTTGCCAACATCTGTTTTAAACTAAAGCATGATTTTCTTTCCTTCCTTCCTTCTTTCTTTCTTTCTCTCTCTCTCTTTCTTTCTCTCTCTTGCCCTCCCTCCTTTCTCTTTTTCTTTCTCTCTTTCTTTCTCTCTCTCTCTTTCTCTCTCTCTGTCTCTCTCTCTCTCTCTCTCTCTCTCTCTTTTTTTCTTTTTTGAGTTGGAGTCTCACTCTGTCGTCCAGACTTGAGTGCAGTGGCCACTCCCAGCCACCGCAACCTCGACCTGCTGGCCTCTGGCGATCCTTCCGCCTCAGCCTTCCGAGTAGCCAGAATTACAGGCATACGCTACCACATCCGGCTGATTTTTTGATTTATTGTAGAGATGAGGTCTCGCTGCCCAGGCGGGTCTCGAACCCGCGGGCTCAGGCAATCCACTCACCTCAGCCTCCCAAAGGCGCGGGATTACAGGCTGAGCCACCGAGCCCGGCTTCTTTTTTTCTTTCTTGACAGAGTTTCACTCTGTTGCCCAGGCTGGAGTGTAGTGCCTGGACCACTGCTCACTACATCCTTAAACTCCTAGGCTCAAACAATCATTCCACCTCATCCTCTCTTGTAGCTGGTACTAGAGGTGTGTGTTACCTCACCCAGCTAATTTTTTTATTTTTGTTTGTAGAGATGAGGTCTCGCTGTGTTGCCTAGGCTGGTCTTGAACTCTTGGGCTCAAGTGATCCTCCTGCCTCAGCCTCCCAAAGTACTGGATTACAGACGTGAATCACCAGTACTGGCCAGCATGACACTTTAAACAGCTAGTTTTATTTTTGTTTTTGTTTTTTTTTGAGTTGGAGTCTCACTCTGTCACCCAGACTGGAGTGCAGTGGCCGCTCCTGGCCACTGTAGCCTCGACCTGCTGGGCTCTGGCGATCCTTCCGCCTCAGCCTTCCAAGTAGCTGGAACTACAGGCGCGCGCTACCACACTCGGCTGATTTTTTATTTATTGTAGAGATGAGGTCTCGCCAAGTTGCCCAGACGGGTCTCGAACCCGTGGGCTCAGGCAATCCACTCACCTTGGCCTCCCAAAGCGCTGAGATTACAGGCTGAGCCACCAAGCCCAGCCTAGTTTTTTTTTTTTTAAAGCTATATTTTGCCATTTTGTTTAACTTTTTATTTTGGAAGATTTCCAACATTTATAAATGTGGTCTAATATATAAACAAGTACAGTTAATCATGGGTACCTACTACCGAGCTTCATGCATAACCCTTTTCATCTTCCTCAGAATTTGCATATTATTTTGTCCATTCAGATCTCAGTATAGCACTCTAAAACATAAGAATTTTTTTTTTTGAGTTGGAGTCTTACGCTGTTGCCCAGGTTGGAGGGCAGTGGCACGCTCCCGGCCACTGCAGCCTCGACCTGCTGGACTCCGGCGATCATTCCGCGTCAGCCTTCCGAGTAGCTGGAACTGTAGGTGAGCGCTACCACGCCCGGCTGATTTTTTATTTATTTATGTATTGTAGAGATGAGGTCTCGCCAAGTTACCCTGGCTGATCTCGAACCCACAGGCTCAGGCAATTCACTCGCTTCGGCCTCCCAAAGTGCTGGGATTACAGGCTGAGCCACTCAGCCCGGCCTAAAACATAAGAATTTTAAATATTGTTCTGAGGGATAAACAAAAGCTTGAGATGTACGTACCAGAACATAAACTGCAGCACGGAGACCCCCAATGTTCACCCAGACTTTGGCCACCTTTTGCCATACATGTCGCATTCCAGATAAAGCCTTGGTAAAGCATTTCGTGTCCTGAGTAAGTAGCACAGCTCGGCCTGTTGTAGGTGTACAGACACGGCTCATCTCACGTAGGCAAGCTGGATAAAGGTTCATCCCTCAGAACAAGATGGAGAAAGAGGAACTTCTTGGTAATGCAAATAATCAAGAGGACTAAAAGTATTTGTACTTCCCAACACTGGAAATGTTCACATGAAGAAGTTGCTTTGAGAAAATAACCAAAGTACAGCCTGCACTCTGTAAACCATTCTAAAGCTCTTCATCCTGCTTAGCCAAAGGTGTGAGTGTAATATGATGGAATTGAAGAGTTCTTCCTGGAAGCTGTTTTGAAGGGGTATTAGCTGGACAATTAGTATTTTGCTTAAAATGCTTTAAAGATGCCTAGATAAAAGTCTACTAAAATGCTCTGGGATTTGAGTTTAAAAGATTTTATTTTCAGGTTTATAGTCTTTACCATTGTGGCAAATCCAAAACTACCCTGGCCTAAAGGAAAGTTAGAGAACATAGTTACATCTTAGGCCACATTTCCTTGCCTATGCATCTTTGCTACTCAAGTTCTTCATCTCAGTGTCAAGAAACGGAAGTATTATTACATTTTGTAAACAATGTTTTCCCCTATGTCAAAGTGAACTATCACAAGGCCTATAGGAAAGTTTGCCATCTTATACCTTAAAAATTACAATATGCATCTGTTATTTGGATTCATATATACAACTAAAATAGAGGACTAAGATTTATTCAAGGGATTGTAAAGATACTTAACTCTTAATGCAATGTAGAACATTTCTATTTGTGAATAGCAAGGTACACTGCTAGATAAGGTATGGGACCAAAAAGCCAAACTAAACTTCTGTACATAAAGGTGTTTTGCTTTTCAAAAACAAACTTGTCAGAGTATTTTTTTCTTATTAGTTTCTTAAAAGGTCTAGAGACAAAACTGTTGTATCTTTGAATAAAACACTTTTAAATTGAGAAAAAAAAGAGTTTTAAATATGAATGACCCCAATATCATTAACACTTTACAGTAATTAAAGTCAATTCCTTAAAATCGTCAGCATATATTCATTGTCTCATAAATGCTATTTTTCAGTTGATTTGTTCAAATCGGGATCAGAATATTGTCCACCCTTTGCAATTGGCTGACAGGCACTGACCATTTTGGAATCCCATTTTTCAGTAATGTTTGTTCTTGAAGCAAAGACTGTTAAGCTGCACTAACTACCCGACCTTGAGTAGGTATCTGGGCACAGGTGGCTGTGTGTCCCAGGGCCCAGTTCTGTTCTGTTCCCATGACAGAGTGACCAAAATGAGACTGGAGACACTCAAGCACCTTGATTTCAAATAACGCTATGCAAACTCAAGTCACTTTCTCAGACCTGAAGAATAAGACAAGGATGTGTTATTTCCTTTCTATTAGTGATCCAGTCATTTTGGTGCAATTCAATCAAAAGTGGTTTTTCTTTCTGACTCTACTAAATCATTTTGGAAAAGCATCCTAATAGTAATTTAGTTTCTGCAACTTGAGTATCTGGAAATAAAGATGTACTCAATCATCTTCTGAGGGCTGGTGAAATAATACTTGTTTATCTTTTAGCCTTTAGAAGGAAGGTAGATAATATTGTGGGCAAATGAGCAGAGGCAGAACTCAGGAGAAGCTGGGTGATCAGGTCCCCTTACTGAAAAATAAGAAATGTGAATGCATGAGACTTTTTTTTTTTTTTTTTTTTAGTGAGAAAGCAGGATTTATTGAAAGGACAGAAAAGTTTCCACAGTGGGAGGGGACCCAAGGGGATTGCCGATACTTTTATGAAGCTCAAAGGAGTGCTAGATGCTGAAAAGCGTAGGACAGTATACAGAAGAAAGGTATTCGTCTTGTTAGCAGTGGTTTGACGGTCAGAGGATATGTCTTAAGCTTTATAGTGTTCACAGTTGCCCTCTAGTAGTGTATAACATAGTATGTGTTTAGTAGTATATCACACGATGTATGTTTAGTAGTATATTACATATGTGCATGGCATATGTCTGGTAGTGTATTGCATGACGTGTTTATAATGCATTACATGACATGTTTAGTAGTGTATTACATATTGTATGTTACTAGTGTATTGCATGTTATATGCTAGTATATTACATGTTATGTGTTTAGTAGTTTATTACATGCATGTGTTTAGTAGTATTACCTGGTGTGTGTGTGTTACATAGTGTGTTTAGTTGTGTTTTTAGTCATATATCATGCGTGTTTAGTAGTGTATTACATATATACTAGTATATACTAATACATAGTGTGTAGCTTGGTATTCTTTAGTAATATATTACATAGTATACTTTTTTCTTCTTTAGTAGTATATTACATAGTATGCTTTTAAACAAAAGAGATTACTTTATCAACAAAGAATCATACTACACACCATGAGTGCATGTACTGTTTTGAGGAATGTTAGATATTTGGGTCTAATATATAGTAAGAGAAACTCACAAATAAATGCTAAAAGCAAATTATTGAGAGCTAATGTGTGAAAATCTTAAATGTAATGTTTAAAAAGAATAAAGGGGCCGGGTTCGGTGGCTCAGCCTGTAATTCCAGCACTTTGGGAGGCTGAGGTGAGTGGATTGCCTGAACCTGCGGGTTTGAGACCAGCCTGGGCGACTTGGCAGAATCTAATCCCTACAATAAATCAAAAAATAAGCCGGGCGTGGTAGCATGTGTCTGTAGTTCCAGCTACTTGGAATCCTGAGGTGGAAGGATCGTCGGAATCCAGGTCGAGGTTGCGGTGACTGGGAGCGTGCCACTGCTCTCCAACCTGGGTGACAGAGTGAAACTCCAACTTAAAAAAAATAGAATTATTTTCTGAGTAACTCATTCTTCTTTTTCTCTCTGTTTCTGCACACACCAATATGTATGAATTTTTTCTTCCTTTCCTCCCTGCCTTCCTCCTTCTTTCCTTCCTTCCTTTTTTCTTCTACTTCCCTCCCTCCCTTCATTTTTTCCTTCCTTCCTCTTTCTCCCTATATATCATCTCTCTATCATCTCTCTCATTCTCTCTCTCATCCATCCATCTATCTATCTATCTATCTATCTATCTATCTATCTATCTATCTATCTATGGTTTTTACAAAGCAACAAGTCACCTTTAGGTTTGAATTAGGATCAGATACAAAATATCTCATTCTCTCTCAGGTATTGTGGCCCGGTCTTCGGTGTGGTTGGGATTCCCGGATTTCGTGGACAGCGTCTCAGATGTGAATGCAACAGACATCTGGCCGGCTGCTTTCTGCGTGGGGAGTGCGGTAAGCCTACCTTCCTCTGTGCGCCCTCTACTCCCTTCCTGTACTCCTGGTGCACAGCAGCCTGGGAGATTCTGTTAAAAATGCACATCCTCTGGCCCTGCCCACCCCACCACTCAGGAACCCAGCCATCTGTGTTGTAACAAACCCTCCATGCACACTCAAGGGCTGTTTCTCCTGCCTCTATACTCCCAGAACACATCTGCATCCTCGCTTTTTTTTTTTTTTTTTTGAGTCAGGATCTCACGCTGTCATTCAGGCTAGAGCGCAGTGGCATGATCACAGCTCACCACAGCCTCCAATTCCTGAGCTCAAGTGATCCTCCCGCCTCAGCTTCCTGAATAGCTGGGACTACAGGCTTGCACCACCACACTCAGCTAATTAAAACATTTTTTTGGTAGAGACGAGGTCTTGTTATGTTGGCCAGGCTGATCTCAAACCCCTGAGCTCAAGCAATCCTCCTGCCTCGGCCTCCCAAAGAGTTGGTATTACAGGCATGAGCCACCACACCTGGCCCACTCTCACCTTAAATAGATCCACAGTCAAAATCAGCTGGCGAAAAAAAACCTCAATATATTGGATGTATTTTCCTTAATGAAATATAGATTTAGCCGGGCTCAGTGGCTCAGCCTGTATCCTGCACCTTTGGGAGGCTGAGGTGAGTGGATTGCCTGAGCCCGCGGGTTCGAGACCCGCCTGGGCAGCGAGACCTCATCTCTACAATAAATCAAAAGTCAGCCGGGCGTGGTAGCGCATGCCTGTAATTCCGGCTACTTGGAAGGCTGAAGCGAAAGGATCGCCGGAGCCCAGCAGGTCGAGGCTGTGGTGGCCGGGAGCAGCCACTGCACTCCAGTCTGGGCAACAGAGTGAGACTCCAACTAAAAAATATATATATATATATGTATATATATAGATTTACATATATTAAATATATAAATAAATATAAACAGATAAAATAATGACATATGCATACACAGACACATATTTGTTACGCTCCATCTATCACAATGGTGTTCCAGTGAGTGATTTGAGTTCACACACTCATGCTGGGTTGATTGCCCTGTTCTGTAGTAGAATTGCCAGCTTCCTCACTTCCTCCCCTCTGTGGCTTCCTAAGTGCACCCGATGGAGCCTTTGTCTCAGCCTACAATGGTGAGGCATCCTCATCTGTTGCTGTTTCTAACACCCAGAGCCCCCTTCTTTCACCTTCTCCTTGAAACCAGTGTCGGAGTCTTTCCTGCCCATACTCATTCGTTCTCAGAGGAAGAGCCCCTAGTTCAGAGCCCCTGGTATCTCTCACCCCAGTTTTAATTGCACACCTTAGAACTTCATCCTCCTGGTCGGGGGTGGTGGCTCATGCCTGTAATGCCAGAAATTCAAGACTAGTCTGGGCAACATAGCATGACCTTATTTCTACAAAGAATAAGCATGATGGTGCCTGTAGTCTCAGCTACTAGGGAGGCTGAGGTGGAAGGATCGCTTGAGCCCAGGAGTTGGAGGCTGCGGCAAGCTGTGATTGTGCCACTGTGCTCCAGCCTGGGTGACACAGCGAGACCCTGACTCAAAAAAAAACAAAAAAAAAACCCCAAAACAAAAACCAAAACCATCCCCTGTATGTCCATGTTCACTAGAAGGCAGAGTTTGTTAGTCAAATCCAGCTGAGCAGATGGAGGGTAAAGCCACACACCCATCCCTGGCCACATCCTCCCCTGGGTCCCAGGGACTGCTCCCACATGTGTCCCAGGAGCTTTCATGTGCTGCTTCCTGGCGTCAGAGGAAGCCGGCATCAGTGGTGCCGTTTCACGGATGGGCTGGGCATCTTGTGCCTGCTTCCAGATGCTTTGATGCTGGGCTCTTCCTGATTGCAGATGTGGATCCAGCTGTTGTACAGCGCATGCTTCTGGTGGCTGTTTTGCTATGCGGTGGATGCCTATCTGGTGATTCGGAGATCTGCAGGACTGAGGTACTCACCGAGCGAATGCACAGGGATTTCCGCTCTACTTCTATTTTAGAGGAATGTCTCCAGATACCACCAAGTGTACAAGGGTATTTTGCAGTTTGCAGATACCCTCAGTCAAAATCTGTCAGCTTGTCCCTCCACTAAAAACATTTGGGACAGCTCATTTTTAAGAGGCCAGAAGCATATTCAAAATGATAGCCCAGCTGGGCTCGGTGGCTCAGCCTATAATCCCACGCCTTTGGGAGGCTGAGGTGAGTGGATTGCCTGAGCCTGCGGGTTCAAGACCCGCCTGGGCAGCGAGACCTCATCTCTACAATAAATCAAAAAATCAGCCAGACGTGGTAGCGCGCGCCTGTAATTCCGGCTACTCGGAAGGCTGAGGCGGGAGGATCGCCGGAGCCCAGCAGGTCGAGGCTGCGGTGGCCGGAATCGGCCGCTGCACTCCAGTCTGGGTGACAGAGTGAGACTCCAACTCAAAAAAAAGCAAAACAAAACAAAACAAAAAAATAGTAGCCCAGCACAGTGGCTCATGCCTGTAATCTGAACTACTTGGGAGGCTCGGATTATAGGCACGAGTCACTGTAAGGCGTGATCACTTGAGGCCAGAAGTTGCAGACCAGCCTGGGCAGCATAGTGAGACACCATCTCTGAAAAACAAACAGGCCAGCCACGGTGACTCATGCCTGTAATCCCAGCACTCTGGGAGGCCAAAGTAGGATTGCTTGAGCCTAGGAGTTTGAGACCAGGCTAGGAAATATAGCAAGACCTTGTTTCTACAAAACAGTCAAAAATTTAGTCAGGTGTGATGGTGTGTGCCTGTTGTCCCAGCCACTTGGAAGACTGAGGTAGGAGGATCACTTGGGCCCAGGAGATCAAGGCTGTGGTGAGCTGTGAGCATGCTACTGCACTCCAGCTTGGGTGACAGAGACCCCAACTCAAGCAAACAAACAAAATACTGAGGATTTTATTTTTATTTATTTATTTATTTGTTTGTTTGTTTTAGTGGAAGTCTCACTCTGTCTCCCAGGCACCTCCCATTGTGCTAGGATTACAGGCATGAGGCACCACACGCTGCCTATACTGAGAATTTTATTTTTATTTACTTATTTATTTATTTTTGAGTTGAAGTCTCACTCTGTCCCCCAGGCTGGAGTGCAGTGGCATGCTCACGGCCACTGCAGCCTCAATATTCTGGGCTTAAGTGATCTTTCCACCCAAATGTTCCAAATAGCTGGAACAACAGGCATGTGCTACCACCACACCCAGCTTATTTTTTGATTTATTGTAGAGACGAGATCTCACCAAGTTGCCCAGGCTGGTCTCGAACCCCCAGGCTCAGGCAATCCTCTCACCTCGGCCTCCCAACGTGCTGGGATTACAGGCTGAACCACTGCTCCTGGCCATGGATTTTAAAACCTAGAAAACAAGTAATTCAATAAATTAGATATTTGGAACTGGACAAGTACTAAAAAAGCATTAACATGAATATAAACAACTTTTGATTACATATAAATGCTTGAGGAAGGCTGGGCACAGTGGCTCAAACCTGTAATCCCAGCACTTTGGTAGGATGAGGTGAGAGGATTACCTGAGCCCAGGAGTTCGAGACCAGCCTGGGCAACCTGATGAGACCTTGTCTCTACAATAAATCAAAAAATTAGCTGGGCATAGTGGTGGGTGCCTGTGGTTCCAGCTACTTGGAAGGCTGAGACGGAAGGATCAACTGAGCTCAGCAAGTTGAAGCTACGGTGGCCTTGAGCATACTACTGTACTCCAGTCTGGGCAATAGAGTGAGACTCCATCTTGAAAAAAATAAAAATAAAAACAATTAAAAAAAAAAAGGTTCAAGGAATGTGTGTTGGCCCTTTATGCTAAATCTGGAACTCAAGAATGCTGGGCCTGGTGGTGGCTACTTGGGATGGGATGACTCAGTGGGTAGTACCTTGGACACTGGTGTGTTTGAACTACTGCCCAGTCACTCCCCAGATGAGTAACTGTTGGTGAGTCGTTTCGGCTCTCTGGACTTCTGTTTTCTCAGCTGTGAAATGGTACCTACTGCATAAGGTCACTGGGAAGAGCGAACGTGGCAAGTCCATAGACATGACTGAGATCAGTGCTGGGCAGGGGCAGGCTGGCAGTACATGTCGGCTGTTACTCTAGACAGGTGTGCACATGGGTTGAGGAAATGGCAACACAACCACCTGAGGTGACCAAGAGAAGCCAGACGTGGCAGGGCAGGGTTCCAAACCTAGGAAGCAGCATTTACCCCCCAACCAAGGTCATGGTCCACTTGAATCAGGTCCCTTTTGAATGGAGCTCTTGCTTGCTTTTTTTAAAAATAGCTTTATGAAGTTCACCTGTTTAAAATGTACAATCCAGCAGTTTTTAGTGCATTCACAGAATTGTGCAACCATCACCATCAGCTAATTTTGACATTCTAATTATCCCCCGCAGACCTCTTGTACCAGTGACCAGTCACTGCTCAACCCCCCTCCCCCAGCCCTTAGCTACCACAAATCTACTTTCTGTCTCTATGGATTTGCCTGTTCTAGATATTTCATCAATGGAGTCATATGACACATGACCTTTTGTGTTTGGCCTTTTAAACTCAGCATAACATTTTCTTTTTTTTTTTGAGTTGGGGTCTCACTCTGTCGCCCAGACTGGAGTGCAGTGGCCGCTCCTGGCCACCGCAGCCTCGACCTGCTGGGCTCCGGCGATCCTTCCACCTCAGCCTTCTGAGTAGCCGGAATTACAGGCGCGCGCTACCACGCTCGGCTAATTTTTTGATTTACTGTAAAGATGAGATCTCGCCAAGTTGCCCAGGCGGGTCTCAAACCCGCGGGCTCAGGCAATCCACTCACCTCAGCCTCCCAAAGGTGCGGGATTACAGGCTGAGCCACCAAGCCTGGCTAGCATAACATTTTCAGAGCTAATCCATGTTGTAGTATGTGTCAGCACTTCATTCCCTTTATGGTCTGAATGTTTATGACCCCCTAATATTCAGATGTTTGTATCCTAACCTCTAAGGTGATAACATTAGGAGGTGAAGTCTTTGGGAGGTGATGAGGTCTTGAGGGTGGAGCCTCATGAATGGGATTGGTGCCCTTATGAAAGAGGCCCCAGAGAGCTCCCTCGCCCCTTCCACCATGTGAGGACACTGTGAGAAGGGGCTGTCTATGAACCAGGAGGGGGTCCTCACCAAGCACCTTATCTGCTAGTACGTTTACCTTGGACTTCCCAGCATTCAGAACTGTGAGAAATACATTTCTAGCTTTTCAATTCTTTCTTTTTTTTTTTTTTTGTCAGTGCCTCACTCTGTCACCCAGGCTGGAGTGCAGTGGCACGCTCACAGCCACTGTAGCATCAATCTTCTGGACTCAGGTGATCCTTCCACCTCAACCTTCCAAGTAGCTGGAACTACAGGCATGTGCCACCATGCCTGGCTAATTTTTTTGGTTTATTGTAGAGATGAGATCTCACCAAGTTGCCCAGGCTGGTCTTGAACCCCTGAGTTTAGGCAAT